GTCGTACTGTCTCCAGGGCTCGTCCCACCGACTGTGGTTGAGGTACACGTCCAGCTGCTGCTCCTCTCGGGCAGAGCTGCTGGTGTGGGATACCGCCGGAAACATGAGACGCTGCCCCCTATCGACCGGTCAGCACAGAGAACAAGGGGATCAGAGCACAGAAATCAGTGGAGCGGCGTTGGTCAGACTCACTGCTGTCCTTCACGTGTTTCCTGCGCTGCTCTGGTTTCTCTGACTGTGCAGGAACACGAACCACCTCTGCTCACTGAACCACAGATATAAAAACATTAAAAACTTCAACTGTCCCTCGAATACTGACGCGTCTGTTCAAACCACAGACACAGAGAAAGACGATCATTTGAAGAAAATCCTGTAGATTAAACGCTTTGGAGAAAAAGAGCTGTATGACTGACAAATGTCGTTTGTTCTCCTGCTGTGGTGAAAAATGCACTGAATAAATAATAGTTTTGGGTCCGTTTTAATCACCTGCTGTTTTTCGTGTGTCGACAGCTGTACTAAATGCCCGCAGAAAACTTTAACAAAAAATGAAGGTGCGTTACTTTTTATGTTTAAATCACAAATAATTATTTTATGAGATTAGTTTTTACTATTCCCAGTGCCGTGGAGTTGACCCACTTTTTTTTTCTTTTTTTTTTTTGGCTTACCCAAAGTTGATTCTCTGCATATGGATCAACAACTGATTAACAGGCTCAGCTCAGCCAATTGCTCGTTGTGTAGATATTTGTAGAAAAGGTATTTCAGAGACCAACGCCAAGACAAAGCGCAGCAGACACAGAGGAGGAACGGCCTCCAGATGGTCATTTAGCCAAGATGAAGAAAATCGGTTCATCGCAAAACAAGGCGGAGCAGTTAGAGGCTCGAGGGCACTGGGGCAGTAAGACGGAGTTTCTCCTAGCTGTGGCAGGAAATGTTGTCGGCCTGGGCAACGTCTGGAGGTTTCCCTACCTCTGCTACAAGAACGGCGGCGGTAAGAAGTTTGATGCTGGGAAACACACGTGGTGTTGTGGTGAATATGTGTAAGTGCGGGGTTTTATATTTTGGGAATTCAGGTGCTTTCCTGGTGCCATACGTAGTCTTTGTTGTGACCTGTGGCGTCCCACTGTTCCTGCTGGAGACGACCATAGGACAGTACACACAAGAGGGCGCCGTCACCTGCTGGAGGAAGCTGTGTCCATTGGCAGAAGGTAAGAAGTCTCCCTTTTTTTAACGCAGAAAATATTTAGGTATTTCTGGTATATGGTTTGATGAGGGTCAAAGGTCAAAGAAAGCGTATTTAGCAGGAAACTGAGGTCTGAACAAAACTGAGAAAGTGATGACTGCAAAACATTCTCAACAAGAACAAATCTGAGTGGAAGGATCACAAATAAAAAAATGTTATTAATAGTTAGTAATAAATTCCAGGTCACTGAATAAAAAGCCAGAAACGACCGTAGCTCATCAGTTTGTCCTAAACATTTCAAGAGCGATTTGAAACAATAGCTTAACATTTAACACTCCATGACTGACTGAGTCATGACTCCATGACTGACTAAGGTCAGGGTTTTGGCCGTGTCCACCTGTGCAGGTATCGGCTACGGAGGTCAGCTGATCATTCTCTACAGCTGTATGACCTACATCATCATTCTGTCCTGGTCCTTGCTCTACCTGGTCTTTTCCTTCAGCTCGGAGCTGCCCTGGTCCAGCTGCAACAACTACTGGAACACAGGTAACACACGTCTGTCTTTTGCACTCATGCAACAGTCCAGAAGGGGGCAGATGACCAGAACTCAGTGGTGATAACGAGTTAACCTTTCCTCACCTCCAATGTCTAACCTGCTGTGAAACAACAGCACAGGTATTTCAAGAAATCGACATTCAATAACCAGGACTTTGGAACTGTAGCCGCTCATCGGAATTTAATCGCTGTTGTCCGTTGACTTTGCTTTTAAAATATTATTTTTAAAACAAATATTATTATACTCGCAGGAATTGATGAGTCAAAAAGTTCCAATACAGGTGTTTGTTATTATACATTTGAAATATTTTTTTACTCACTTTCTGTCAGAAAACTGCATCGACATTTCAACAAGAAACAACTCTCTGCAATGGACCAATCAGACGAACTCCTCCTCCGCCGCTACAGAATTCTGGGAGTAAATCTTTTTTTCCGTTTTTTCTGTTTCCACTGGTGAATCATCTCTCCTTTATTTATCTGTGCAATTTTTTTTAGCTAAACTATGTTAAATATGACATCACGTCTCTCCCAGACGGCGAGTGTTGTCTATTTCTAGCGGTATCAACGAATTAGGCAGCGTTCGCTGGGAGATACTGTTGTGTCTCATCGTCATGTGGGCGGCCTGCTACTTCAGTGTCTGGAAAGGCGTCAGATCCACAGGAAAGGTATAGCAGCAAATGTTAGCTCTGAGCTACATGAACATACACCGACATATATACTGTATGTCACACCCGTCCTGTTTTTGTCCAGGTGGTTTATTTCACCGCCACTTTTCCTTACGTGATGCTGCTCATCCTCTTGATTCGAGGACTTTCTCTCCCTGGCGCTATCGAAGGAGTGAAGTTCTACCTTCTGCCCGATCCATCACGTCTCACAGATCCTCAGGTAGCTGCATGGATGTCCACTGCTACACCTGAGAGTCCGTGTGGACAGATGTACTCACTGCTACTCTGACAGGACAGGTGTGGATGGAGGCTGGGGCTCAGATCTTCTTCTCCTACAGTCTGGGTGTGGGGACGTTGACGGTGCTCGGGAGTTACAACTCCTACAACAATAACTGCTACAGGTGAGTGCTGGTCAGTGACTAACCATCCTCCAAACTTTTTTTTTTTTGAGCCACGACTAAGTCAGTGTGAAAGTTCAGCCTGTTAAGTTGAAGACAACACTGATATACTCGCAGGAATTGAAGAAAGACACACAAAGATAATCTTCAACAGCTCTGATTCTTAAACATAACCTTAACCATAGCCCTCTGCTGCCATCCAGTGGAAGAGCATTTAATTGTTCTGCCAATAAATAAGTTTACGCAGCAGTAAAGCAAAATTGGAAAATCTTCGACAGCACCGCGCGCACACGCACACACACACGCACACTTTTAACTTACATTAGGTGCAGCGGTCTGTCCGAGCATTCCCTCCTGAACGTTAACGCGAATTCCTTCCGCATATCCGAGTCCGTGTGACGTACTGAAGGGCGGTGCCTGAAGAAACATTCCCCGGCTTCTGGTGTTTCACATCCACCGGTGAAACACGCGCCGTAATCATTTCACGAACCAGGAACGTGCAAATCACTAATTAGCCGTAAAGCGGGTTTTTTCTGGATTGTTCAACACAGAGCCGAACATGTTCGGAGGAGCAACAGGTTCCGGAAGATCCCACATCATTAACGCGTTATTTCAGCACGGCAGTGGGAACTCGTTTACGCCAGATTCAAGTCACCTGATCGTGACGTCAGCTGACTTGTGTCACGTGTCCTAATCTTAAAAAACAAAACAACACACAGACATACCGAGCTGCCAAAAACATGTTTTTTTATTTATTTTTTTAATTTAAACTTTTCATGTAGTGGAAACTAAATTGAATATGTAGATAAAATTATCTCGACAATAATTCATCCCAAATTTAACACGTGAAAATCACACACACTATTTTTATTTTTATTTTTATTTTTATTTTTTCCCCCCAGAGACTGCCTGTGGCTGTGTTTGCTGAACAGTGGGACCAGCGTGGCCCCCCAGAGACTGCCTGTTTGCTGAACAGTGGGACCAGCGTGGTGGCTGGGTTTGCTGTCTTCTCAGTGCTCGGCTTCATGGCTAATGAACAAGGGGTTCCTATTTCAGAGGTGGCAGAGTCAGGTATCAAAATATTAAAAAATGTCACTATGTTCTACTTGTGACCGACTGATGACGTCAGAGCAGCTTCAGATCTGCAGCTGAACAACATTCATTCTTTTACACTGATATCAGGTGTTTTTGTTTTTTTTCTTCTGGTCTTTGCTGCCATCTTCAGGATGACCTAATCAACGACAATGAGGGCCGTGAATATATATTTTCTGCATCGTTGTAGATCTCTATACAGCTATGTTCAGAGTGACCTTTGACCCTTGGATCTCTCTTGAGATTTTCAGGCGGTTGCCCCAGATGCTGCCACCCTTTGCTCTTTGTTTTGTTTTACAATAACATTTATTCTGTCCTCATCCTCTCGTCTCATTCACTGTCCTATAATAACCTCACAGTTCATGGTGGGGCAGATGGTAATGTGACACGGTGGTGCTGTTGGTTTCCAGGTCCTGGCCTGGCTTTCATCGCCTATCCTCAGGCTGTGGCCATGATGCCTCTCCCTCAGCTGTGGTCCATCTGTTTCTTCATCATGCTCATCCTCCTGGGTCTGGACACTCAGGTGAGGCAGAGAACACAGGACTCCATGTCTTCATATATTTGATTTAAAAAGGACAAACCTGCTCCTTTTTTTCGTTCCTCCAGTTCGTGGGCATGGAGGTGATGATGACGTCAATCACCGATATGTTCCCCAAAGTGTTACGCAAAGCCGGCCGACGGGAACTGTTTCTACTCCTTTTTTGCCTCATATGTTTCTTTTCTCAGCTGGTCATGATCACTCAGGTCAGAATATATTTGTGTTTATCATTTGTTGTCACAACGTACACAAAAAAAATTAAAATAAATAAAAATAAGAAAACATTGTGACATTTTTAGCATTAAATTAAAATTAAAAATACACTTAAAAGCTTTCAAAAATGTGGGGATAAGAAAAAAAAAATTCTGTTTTCTTTTCGTCTCCAGGGAGGAATGTATGTGTTCCAGATGTTCGACTATTACGCCTGTAACGGAGGCTGCATCCTGTTTCTGTGTATGTTTGAAAGTCTGGCACTGGGATGGATCTTTGGTGAGAACGGTTATCAATGTGTTTGGATTAAAAAAAAAAAAAATTCAATGTAAGTTAAAGATAAACAACACAAAAAAACTGAACTTTTTTTTTTACACTTCAAATCAAATAAATGTGTTTTTCCTTTAATTCCATCAGGCCCGTCCTACGCATGTGCTGTAATTCAATTGTTGCTCTGTTTACGTGACCTCATCTCATCTCCTTCCCTGTAAGGGGTCGAGCGGCTCTATGACATCATCAAAGACATGACGGGCGCGAAGGCCAATCCATTCTTCAAGATCTGCTGGCTCTACGTCACACCGCTCGTCAGTCTGGTGAGTCTGTCAGGCCGTCAGGCTGTTAGCCATCAGTACCTTTCAAACTTTTTTTAAATTTTATTTTACTGTTCTTGTTCAGGTATCTTTTGTTTGGTCTTTAATTGAGTACCAGCCTCTGACCTTCAACCGCTGGTACGTGTACCCTGCCTGGGCTTACGTGCTCGGTTGGCTGCTGGCCCTCTCCTCCATCCTGCTGGTGCCAGGCTGGGCTTTATATAAACTGGGAACTGGCACTGGAAGCCTCAGTCAGGTGGGACTGCCCGTCAACTCCACATTTAAAAATTAAAATTCTAATAAAAGTGTTTTTCTCATTAAAAAAAGTGATTAATAATTCCAACGTCCTGGTGGTGGAATAATGAAAAAACAAGTGCATTTTCCACATAATTGAAGAAATTATTAAAATTAAAAATGTATTAGTTTTGCTGTGACCCATTGGGAGGCCCCTGCCCTCTACTTTTGACACCACTGATATGGACTTATTTTAACTATTTCTAAGTTATCTGATATATATAAAAAAGGGAAAAATATTTTGTTGCTACTTTTGTTCCAGATCAACGGATGACACTTTTATTTGTGTTGTTTGTGTTGTATTTGTGTTGAAACATCAGCGTAAGCACAGTCTGTGTTGGCCTGATCCTGACCGCTCTCTGACCACACAGAAAGACACAGAGCTGCAGAACATCAGAGACGAAGAAGCCCAACATTTCACAGCCTGATATGAAGCTCATCTGAAAGAGATTTATTCTTCCATCAACTACAGCTGAGTGTTGTATTTGTGTTGTTTTCTCAGCGTTTCCACAGTCTGTGTTGGCCTGATCCTGACCGCTCTCTGACCACACAGAAAGACACAGAGCTGCAGAACATCAGAGACGAAGAAGCCCAACATTTCACAGCCTGATATGAAGCTGATTTGAAAGAGATTTATTCTTCCATCAACTACAGCTGCAGCTGACTTCCTGTTTTTTGGCTTTTTTAAAAAACAAAACAAAACATGGAAATCAAAGGTTATTGTACAACAGTCCAAAAATAACAAAAAAACAAAAAACGTAAACATAAGATTATCGGACTTCCTGTTTTTGGCTTTTTTTTTTAAAAAAACCCATGGAAATCAAAGGTTATCGACAACAGTCCAAAAATAACAAAAAAACAAAAAACGTAAACATAAGATTATCGGCGATATATACTGTACAGATGAAATGTTTACGTTACCGATATTTCACTTCGAGCCACAATGAAATAAAAACATTTGTTGTTGTTCATTGCAGTCGTCACTCTAAAATGACAGCGAGATATTAATAATAATATTATTATAAATAATATTAACCATTTACAAAGCCTTTAGGAGGCATCGTATTTATCACAAAAATAATGAAAATATTGGAAATGTAAAAACATTTATACACAGCAAAAAAGCTGGGAAAAAACACAATACAAGAATGCCTTTACAATATTAAAACACACGTTGAACTGAGGGACAAACAGTCAAACTGCGATACAGTGAGAGACGAGTGAAATGACTGTGGGCGTTACCAGTTGTTTGTCGGCTTAATTACCTATAATAAGCTCCATGTTATATAAGATCTGTTGGATTGTTGACTCTCTTGAAAGACATGGTTGGTACGAACAATAGAATAAAGGATATTACGTATCAGTCAGAAGTTTGTTCAACTGGTAAATCCTCAGAATGTCTTCTCTAGAGATTTTCCATCTATGACCCAGTTTAACAATTTAACACAATTCTACGAAAAAGGAGGACAAACTGAGACAATTACATATGATATTGCTTTATTAGAGTGCTGTACAGATACGAAAAAAAAAACACACTTTAAAAACCACTCAACGATTCAGAAATATGTGCATTGTTGACAGTGCTGTCTGTCCTGACCACAAGCACAGAGAAGTAAATAAAAATATACAAAAACACTGCATGCATTAAATCAACACACGGTTACACTGTATATTTATATATATATATATTTATACACATTTCAATGTCAAAGTCCCTCGGACAACGGAAGCGTTGCTACATCTTTGAAAAAACAACAAAACAAAACGAACAATTACTGGCTCGGTGAAAAAAATGTTCCACGTGAATGGTTACAAACAGCAGCTGCATGAGAGGAAATGGCGTGACTGCCCCCTGTGGCAGATACTGTGTTCACGTCTCACAGTATAAAGTCATTTAAAAATAGTGTACTTAAAAAAAAAGAAGTGCAATACTGTACGTGACAAATGAGTAAAGAGTAGGGATGTCCGATATTAACTTTTTGCTGATATCGCATATGCCGATATTGTCCAGACACTTAATTTCCGATTCCGATATCAACCGATACCGATATAGGTCTGGTAATATTTACTTATTTATCTGTAATAACCACTGTATGAGTTGCTGGCACCAGGATTCTTCATGCCACTCCCTGATTAGCTGCAATGCTGCCATCTAGTGACTTTCACTTTCACATGCAGCTGTTTTTCCCCAAAACTATTTTTAGGATTTGGCAAAACCCAGTCATTGCATTATCGGGTTTTCATTATCAGAGGAAAAAAAAAAAAACCGATAACGATTCTTTCAAATTTTGCATAATTTTGCTAATATCGCCGATATTATCGGACATCCCTCGTAAAGGTGTTCTCCTAAAGCACATTAAACCATGGAAAAGGTATTTAAGGCATTACCGGGGGAAGCATTCAAATACAAAGTTCCTGTAGAGTTCCAGTGTGATGTACTGTAGTATGTCGTGTAACAGGAGGAGATTCTCTGCAGTACTACGGTACTGCAGTACTACAGTACTGCAGTACTACGGTACTGCAGTACTAGACTCCAGGAGAGGACGGAATTCTCTGGTGTTATTGAATCAATGTTGTTCAAAAGGCACTGATCAAAGTTACTGATCCTTCAAAGACAGGACGTTATATCAACCCATTTACCAACCAAGTATCTTTGAAGGTATTAGTGTAGAGTGACAACAAAATTAGAAAAAAAACCCTGATCCTACACACAAGAAATATTGTAAAGTACTTTAAGGACACCTTGTGTGTAAACCAGCTTCCTTTTTGGAAAACACCATTCATTTCAATTAGGTGCTCAAAACAGTTCCAGTGCCGGGATTTCGTTCACCCTGCCAATGTTCTATGATATAAAAGGTGATATGAGAAGATGTCTTAGGAATGAGTGGTACTTTAAAATTATACGACTAAAGAGGGTGTAACATGGACCACCTCGGACCGCCTGCTGTTATTAAAAATTGTGGTGCAGATAATGATGATGATTGCTTTTTGCTTCAAAGATCATTACAAGTGCAAAGTAACATGAACCAATCAATGTATTAAAAGGAGTGGTACGTATAATGCGAGCGTTGGTACAACCTCACCTCGAAAGAAGAATAAATGGGCCTCGTACACATGCAGCTGTCCAGCAGGAACATGTCCGATGGGGAACCAGCCAATGAGTGAGAAGACATGTAGAGAAATCCTAGCCTAGCACTGTGTCCTCGCTACACTGGAGTACATCATGGTGTACAACGACAACGGACCGTAGCTGTGCGATGGTAAGAAACCGGTCTATGTTGCCTGAAACTTGCAATGGGATTTTGAGAATGTTTAGAAGCAAAAAGCATTTTCAAAATCTGCCTAAAATTTCCTATTATTTTGTTTCCTACTGACATTTTTTTTGTGACCATGAATCTCAGAGTTATGACTGTTGACAAACTGGATTTTTTTTCTTTAAACTGCACAACCACAACACGTGAACCTAACGACCAGTTGGTTAGTGAACCCAACTAAGAGTGGCTGGTCCTGAGAACGTTCCCTCTGTTTCCTAAAGGCATTCCAGGTTGTTTCAACCTGCAGAATCGTCGGCAGACAATTCCATCGCCTCGAAGTCCTGGCTCGGTTCTGACTGTGGCTGCTGAGAGCCACAAAAGTCCTGGTTTGAGGCTAATGACGTGTTGAGAAGTGGAGAGGGCGGAACATTTGGACCCTCAGTGGAGAGTGGCCTGTTGTCCAGGTGACCAGTAGAGTTGGGATGCGATGGACTTTGGAACTCCTGCAGGTCTTTGAGGTCGGGGTAGTTGCTGGACTCGGCCATGGTTGTGTGGAGAGTTTCCCAGGACATGATATTGTCTTTGTTGCGGTTGTGTTTGTTAGCAACCTGGCAAAGTATCTGTGTGTGCTGTCGCAACTGGGCAATATCCTGATCTATGGCGTTGCTCTGACGCAGCAGTTCCTTAGTGCGCAGCGTCAGGTCCAACAGGCCCGACTGTTTGAGGATTTCTAACGTGTTGACGAAACGGCGGTGGCGAGTGGTGTTAGTGCTGTTTTTGAAAAGGCCTCTGGTCGCAAGGACGGAAGAAGAATTGGAGACGGTAGATGCAGACAGAGAGCTCTGCATTGAGGAAGCGTCGGACGATACAGCACCTCTGGTGGTGGAGGAATATGGCTGTCCAGAAGACACTGCTGCTGCTGCTAATTTGGGCTGTTTAAGAAAGTGCTGCTCTGCTGGACTTCTGGTTCCATCAGTCTTGTGTTCTGTGAACACTCGCTTATTCATATTTTGGGGGTCGTCATTTACTGAAGACTTATCAGACGGCTTCTTGCTGGGGTGCGGTGCGATGCGAGGATAAGAGTTAAATATGGGGAAGTACGCGCCGTTTGTTTTCCTGCCGGTGACACCGAGCTTCCGGGACAAGGACTTGTGTGGCTGCAGGTTGGTCGGCAGCAGGATGGGCTGCTGGCAGAGAATCATGTGAGGCGTCGCAGAACTGTTTTTATTCTTCCACAGCAGCGGCCCTTTTTTCTGGGTTGCGTCCGGCTGGTTGGTCGGAGGAAGACAAAAGCAAGAATGAGACGCAGAGACGAACGGACTTTAACGGCAAACTACCAAGTGAGTAAATGAGGAAAACTGAATTAACCAATAAAATAAAAAAAATATATATTAGTCAACTCATAGAAACAAAACTAAAAAAAAACCTGACAGACATCAAATGCAATCAGTAATATTTTCATTAAATAAACTAAAGGGAACAAAGGAGGGCAAGAGCCAATCAGAGCTGAGTTTGCTGGATGACTGTGAAATAGCTTGACCAAAACATGTCCTGTAGGAGAGATATATGGAATATATATATATATATAACATCCAACCATTTTTGTAAAATAAAAAAATTAAAATAAATATAATCAATAATCGACTAAAATTAAACTAAAATTCAAACAAATCTTAAGGACTTTTCATTGAGACTCAGTTTAGTCAAAAGACTACAACTGAGATGAAACGGCCGACATCAACTTTTAACGACGTTTAACGACTAAAAGTGTGTCATACCTGCTTTAACATGTTCTTAAGGATGTAAACAGTGGGGAGACTGGGCTGCGCTGGAATAAGAGAAGAAATTCCAGGAGTTCCTTGGCCATTTGCTTGAGTTTGGCCTGACTGCGATGTTTCGATACGCTCGCTGCCTCTGGATGGACTTTTGCTGCGTTGTTGGTCTTCTGCATCTGTCTGCTGCCAGTCGGAACTCTCTGCAGAGGAGACAGTTTAGCATACAGTTGAAAACAAAAACAAAAACACGCTCTACTGGGGTCATTTCTAATTCCGTCATCTAACTGACCAGAGTAGCCCGAGTCTTTTTCCGAGCTGCAGCGGGAGCCACTTCCGCTGGTGTTTCCTGTGTCTTTAGTGTCATGACTTGCCACAGGAGCGGTCGTGTTGCTCTTATCTTTGGACGTACCACAGGGAGTGTGCTCACTGGGACCAGGCAACTCCTTTGGCATGCTGGACCCTAATAAACAGGAGAACACAAAGAACATGCTACTGAGTGTCGCTAGTGAATAGTTAGCAATGACAAACAACAAAGGATTCACACGGTGCCTGTCTCACACACACACACACACACTGCATGTTGGGACAAGCTCTATCACCTGATTATGACACTGGCGTTAGAACATGCAAATTATATTTCTGCTTCCTTCTAAACGTGGGTGTTTTTTTACATATATATAGATATTTTGTTACCAATGTAAAATTAATTAAAATTCGAATAGTGCAGTGAAATAGTTAATCCAGATATATATATATTTTGTTACCAATGTAAAATTAAGTAAAAAGTCCAATAGTGCAGTGAAATAGTTAATCCAGATGTAAAAGAGAAGAATAAAGAAGATTAAAGGCAGGCACTGATAACGTCAACAAAACATCAAACCTTCACGTTCACCTTCAATTTGTCTACAGCAGTGTTTTAAAAGTCACAAAATTTCACGACCCAAAAAACAATAATCTTGCTACACACCTGAGGGTCGCAACCCAGTCTTTGGGAAACAATGATCAACAGTAGAGAATAAAAATGAATAATTCATAATTCAGATTACGGTACACCGCATTCCGAGCGTTGTTACATATGGTATGAAAACCATATAAATGCAGTATAACTTGATTTGCGGTGACTCCGGAGGATAAAGCTGTCGACACCAGCCGGGCACCACCTCTGTTTACATTGTGTCTGTCAACGGTGGTGATACGTACGTATCAGTGAACTGAAGGAACAAAGTGAGCAGAGAAAATTTAAATGGGTTTTAACTAAGATCAAACATTATCCCTAGGCTAAGAGTGGGTGGTTAGTCCGTACACAGCTCATATTTCAGCAGACCTTTGTCCTACAAATCCATAGTATTACAGGACTCGTCAAACAAAATCATCTGGTCGTGGACCGTTTTATGAATTGGTCGTTTGTGTGCATTTCTTATCATTCTGCCCTTTATGGGTGTCTGAGTCTGACGGGGGAAATCAACAACCGTGCTGCCTCTTATAGATGTCCTCACATGACATCAGCAGCCCACAGTGCTCTCAGAGTGTTGTTTTCCACAAAGCAGTAGGAGGGATGGATTTCACTGCGAAACAGGAACTGACAGTGTAGCCTTGTGGCATATAATCACACTGCAGTGGGGGCTGCAGCTAGACTCCACTTCTATTCCAAGTTCTTTTGTTTGTTTTTTTGCATATTCTGGCATGAATTAAAAGGTACATTCACTTAAAAAAATCCTTTTATCCCTTTGCAAGTGATAATGAGAATTCAGTCTTAAAACGTAACGTGTTGCCACTCAGATGTCAGTTCAACAAAACAGCAAATCTCCAGTTACATCAACACAAACAAATGTCAGTAAATAAGTATGAGACACATGTTTGTAGAACTGCCTCAAATACGAGTTTATCTTATTGTCATTCTGGGAAAATAAAACCTGGTACTGATTCTTTCAATGCAATGACTTCCATGTCTGTCTTTTTTGCAGTCCTGCACTTTCAGCAAATGCAGCCAAACAAAACTGCCGTGTGCAAGTGTCACTGGTGAAGCAGTAAAAGGTTAAATTTATGTTGTGAAACTACGACAGCAGCAGTGTGCCTCTGGGTCAGTTCAGGACAGGAAGTGTCAACATGTCAAACACAAGCTGTGTTTATCTCATACACCTGTCCAGTCAAAGATTTTTATTTTATTTTATTTATTTTTTTGTGGCTCCGGACATTTTAAGAGGGGAACTGTTCCTGAACGCAACTTCCACTCCTTGTTATGCAACACTGCATTTACGTCCCAGCCCTCTCTGACATACACTTTCTATCGTAAACACGCACTGTACAAACGGAAGTACTTGCAATCTATCTTTCTTGGTAGGTTTTACACGATAAACGATACGCGTCTAAAATGTGCGCGAATTGAGCTACAAAATTCAAAGTCATACAACACTAACAGCAGGAAGCGAAGTTATGGGATTTACGAGTAATAAAACAAATGCCTTTATTATCACATCTCTGCAAAAGAAAAAAGAAACAGCCTCCAAGTCTCCAAGACATAACTATTTACGTATATTGGCATTTTTTCAACAGCCTCCAAGTGTCCAAGACAACTATTTACGTATATTGGCATTTTTTCTCTTCATAGAAGGGTAACTGTTGCACCGAAACGTTGGTGGTAACAATCGGTTACATCATATGACAAATAAATGTCGAAATTATTAGTTTAAATGATTCGTTTTTCTCTCTTTGTCAAGTGTACCAAGTGTGGGGAAAAGCAGTTAAATGAATGCTCGTTTAGACTAAGACGACGACACTTCCGCTTAGTCTTAACACAAACCCCTATATAATACCTGGCTAAATATATTTAATGGCAGTGAAATTACTTAATGAACAGCGATAATGACATTAAATGGAACGCTGTTTATTTCAAGTCAACAGGAGATAACTTACCAGGAGGTTTGTCCATCCGCGCCGGCTTTCGAGCTTTTATTTTGAAAATACCCGTGGATAACTGTAACTAGCTTGATGTCGCCATTTGAATTATGGACGAAATGTTAAATTGAGCAGAAGAGAAACAGATGTTGACAAGTCGCGTCATTTCAGCCCGTTGTGGAAGAACAAATGTAGTAACGTGCAGCTCGATATAAAGTAGGGGTGAAAAGGCCGGACTTTGCCAAGTGTCAGTGCCCGCGTTACCTTAACTGAACTCACAACCCGAGCCGCCTGTGGGGGCGGGGCTTCCACTGAACAGACAGACTAGCTACCGAGGCGTGAGGCGCTGATTGGCCTTTGGTAAAAACACGGGAGCCAATCAGCGTCGAAAGCACGTGTACACAGACACTGTGGTAGTACGGAAAGAAGTAACTGAAAAAAAGAGGGACAAAAACACGGCTGTGGCGACGGACGAGCAAAAGTTAGGATTAAAACACGTCAATAAATAACGATATTATGGCGTAAATATAACCTGAAATGTGCTTTGAATCATTATACTATTACCACAGCTCAAACTATTGTGTGATCTGTGTACATGTTGTAATGGAACACCCCCGCCCCCCACGACACATTTTGGATTTACGACAGAAGGCAGAAAGCAGATTTTATGGGCTACATGTCTAGATATGCTGGAGGTGATTTACATCAGACTGTAGTTTAAAGTTTTTGCACAATTTTTTCCTTTTTTCACACAAAATTTTTTTGCTTTGTTTTGTCATCTCCGGATCAATGCTTTTCAAGTAACATGTGATTTCACACGGTGCACAAATGAACTAAAGGGCTATTGCTGCGAAATCTACGCTGTTAATTTTTCCTTTTTAAAATGTATCAAAATATAGTTTACACTTTTGGATGTCCTGTTCAGAGCCAAACATTAGGCAGAAAAAAAAAACCCTCCATGTTTGCCATGTTGGTAATACTATTCCTGGTATGAAGGTGACAGGGAGGGGTCAAGTGAGTCCACAGTAGTGCATTCCCAGGGTTCTGTATATGTATACGCCTCATCCATGATTTTTTTTTTTGGAATGTCCGGAAATAACATGCATGAAAAAGCAGCTCTGCAGCAGACACTTTATTTTTTTTTTTTTTTACATTAAAATCTTCAAATAATTTCATAGACAGCCCACATCCTCTTCATTAAGACAAGGACAAATGATTACAATTCAAATATATATTCAAAATCAGCTGCAAGATAAGATTCTAAAAGATGTGCAAACAGACTTGCTAAATCACAGCCATACCAGAAGGCTCTCAGTTCTAGGGTCAGATATCGTCCAGCGTTGGAGACTTAACACGGCCGTCTCACCCATTTTCAGGGCAGGTCATCTGGACCTGGCTGCTCGGATCACGTGGGTCAAATCGCCCTGGGGCGATCAGTCTGGCATTGATACCCTGACTCAGTGGGATGTAGCGAGGATCTTTGAGTCGGTTTTGTCAAGTGCACACACCCAGCAGGGCATGGGCCGTCTTTAGACCCGGGTGTCTACTGACGCACATCTTCTCCGGGGAGGAGAATTTGACAAAAGTTGCACAGGTTTCTCGGATATGAGCTTTTGATGCAGCGTTGGCCAGAATGTGCATGATCCTCAGCAGGGCAGTCTCACTGAAAACCACAAAAATAAAAATAAGAACAGGGTCAGCGGAACAGCAAGGATGGACACCCTGCTGTGTAAATCACAAACACAGAAGAAAGAAAAAAAAAAAAAAAAAAAAAAGAGAGCACAGAGGTGCCTATCACAACAACGGTGCACACCTGCCTACATGGATACTGGAGGCCAGACACCAAGCAGCCTCCCCTTCTGGGGTCAGGGGCTCCTGCAGGACTTTGCGGGACAAGCAGAGCGCTGCTCCTGCCAGCTGTGCAGGTAGAAAGACCACACACTGAACCTCCAGGAGAGAGAGCTCCAGCAGATAGTGAGCCATCCACACCACCTGTCAGAGAAAAAACAAAACAAAACAAAAAACAGAGTGATGCAATGTGTCATTTGCTGAACTTAGTTTTTAAAAGCATTCCAGTAATATGGCAAAAGATGATCGACATCGACCCCCCCCCAAAAAAAATAAACACAAAACAATTTTCCCAACTACCCAAATGCCACAGCTAAAAGACTAATAACTAACATCAAGACAAGAAAGTAGGACAAAGAAAACTAGGCCTACATTAGCACTGCAGCGAGCGACGGAGGAAAACAGCAAAAGGAAGTGAAGTGGGGGACAGAAGGACAGGTTGAACTTCAGTCCAGAGAAGACCTTTCGCTCCATTCGCAGTAGCTGATTCCTGGTGTAGGCATGGTCCATCAGCAGGCAGAGTCCGGACACCTGGAGGGAGGCACAGAGGTTTTATTGCTTGTGCCTGACAAGAGGTGGGAAATGGGGCAGGGGGAGTGATGGTCATGTCATACCTCAGGGAGCAGACACTCTTCTTTCTTCGCAGCGAGGAAGAGGCAAACCATGCCGAGGAGCTGCAGATTGACCGTGGTCACCTTGATCTGACGCAAGGAGCAGTTGACAAGGTGAATGGCGAGGTAGAGGGTTTCATCCTGGAAATGCAAGCTCTCCTGGTGGAAATGGAAAGTGTTTTTTATAGTTGGAAAATCAGTAGCTAACAGTAAGAGTCAAAGGTAGGTTGTTGATTACGTAATTCATGCAGACATTGACATCTTAATTGATGTGGTTTATAGCTGCTGTAATTGTGTGTAAAGTAGTACACAAATACCTTCACGTGTGTGAAACAGGTTGGAATATAAATCCTTTACAAATTAGAACAAATACGAGGCTCACGTGAACTTGAATGAGCCAGTCCACCAGCACAGCACGGGTGATGTCTGTAAAATGGCGGGGGAGGTCAGCGTTGGGAAAGGAATTACCTGTCTGAGTTCTCTGTAGAGTGGAGGGGTCAAAAAAAAAAAAAAAAGGTATCAATTCTAGGGCTGTAGGTTGACCCCACAGTCAAATAGTCTAGGCCTGTAGGTTGACCCCACAGTCAAATAGTCAGTTATAGGTTTTCAATTATAACAAACTGATTAGTGTCTCTGACCCACATTCAGTCCCACTGGGGAAAGGGGGAAACAAAAAACAAACAAAAAAAAACCTCACTGCATGACGTGTCATTTTATAATTCCACCACAAGAGGGAACTCTCGTGACACTGCTGAGCTAACAAGCGATTGCAGTTGGTCTTTCTGGCTAAAAATAAAATAATAAATAAATATCCAGCACTGCCATGCAGCACAGACCATAATAACTCCACAGGGACTCAGTCTTATTCGGTCTCACCATCATGATCAAAAACATGTCCCAGGCGTAGCTTCGGTCCCACGCAAGGCCCAGTTTCTCCAGAGCCGTCTCCACCTCATGGCGCAGCAAGCTGGGTACCAGCGTCTGTAGGCTGTGGAGACCGCGCAGGCCGTGGCGGTACAGAAGCATGTGTTCCTCCACATCTAAATATTTATTTTAAAATCAGTGAAGAAACAGTGGTGCACGACAAGTAGTACAAAAATCCTTCAAGTAACTGAACGCGGTACCAGCTGAGTGTTTCCCACCGTCCTCATGGAACCCCATGATGATGCCTTCACTGGTTCTCATTAATAAACTCCGATCCTGCAAACATGAAAAACAAAAACCACACACGCCTTGGATTCCAACCTACTACTGTCAACTGAGAAGCTGAGTTAATATACATATATTTATGAAATTAATACTATACACCACACGGGACAAACTCAGGGCCCGAGGGCCAAATCTGGCCCATCATATTAAATATGTACTAGAGTAGGCCTGCCTATATACTGGAAGGATTTGTAGTGTTAGCATGTTTGTTAGTGTGTGATATATTTGGTATATCAGTGGTTCACAAACTGTGGAGCGCTCTCTAGTGGCACGCAGGGAAAAGAGACAAACAAATACCACTGATGTGTGTTTTATTTCCAATTTAATTTCTCATGTGTTTATAATATTAACCTTTGGTTGTTCCAGATTGGATGTTTACACAAAACTAAAGTTTGTTTCTAGATTAAAAAAAAAAAATCTACATTACAGATCTGTGGCGACAAGGGAAAACATTAACAATTCCAGTCATTAAAAAAAAAAAAAAAAATTAAGCCGGAGACGTGACCATCAGGGCAGGAGACTCACCCATCTGCAGTCTGGCTCCATTCTGACAGGAACCATCCTGGACTCTTCTGCTTCAGCAGGCTGCCAGCGATCCACAGGTCCGCAGGCATTGGCCCAAGTTCTTAACGGGGCTCGCCTCTCGTCCGCCTGGGGGGGACAACAAGACTATAACAATGTGATCCCGGATGTTCAAAACAACGCTGTACTGACACCAACACCAAGATTAAAAATAAATAAATTAAAAAACTAAATAATAAAAACGACTCTATGCTATTAAGGGTAAACGATGAGTTTTACTTATTTTAATTGAAGAATATTTCCGCAGAGAGAAACAGGTTGTTGACTCCCGGGTACCGCGAATAATAATGTCTCGAATCTGCTACTTTAAAATTTAAATAAATAAAAACTTAATCACAAAACATTTTCCACACGCGGTCCATTTAAAATGCGTGTTCACTTCGATGACTGTTGCTAAACAGGAAGTCTTAAATCAGAGAACATTAAGAAAAAAAAGTTAAACTTTTTTTTTTACAAAATCAGCGAATATTTTGGATGTTTTTCCGTCGATCGATTAGTTGATGAAGACCTTACGCCGCGGTCACAATCAGCGGACAATCATTGCTGATTGCAATTACTAACCGAGATTTAAGGTCAGAGAACCAGGATTTATGTTCAATTGAGAAATTTAATTTATAAAAACGTGTCGCTCTAATATCAGTGTTTTAATATCCAAGTACCTTTGAGTACACTCCTAATTAAAATGTAAAATTGAAAATTGTAACCTGCTAAGCTAACGTGCTCACCTTCTTGTGTAAGTCCAGCAGAGGCTTGGAGTCAGAGAAACCGGTCCTGGCCATGACCACAGCCGGAGTTAGAGTTCCTGTGCCAGGGCCGCTGCAGCTACTTATCCACAGGTGTCAGCGGAACTGAGAGGGCGGCCATGCTGCCGCTCACGGCCGCTTAAAAACACAGGTGGGCCGCCCTAAGGTGGGTGTGGACACCGGACACACCCACAGGTCAGGAGGAGCACTTCCGGTCGACGCCCCCTGAAATTGGCTCAATGTGTCAAACCGTTTCACGAGAACCAGTGGAAGGCCTTAGTCAAAAGCCAGGTGTTTAAATTTAATTAAACATTATTTTAATTAAATATTATAAATTAAACATTTCCTTAGGCACCGTCAACAACTTCCACACATTTTAACATTATATTTTTCTGACATTTTGTGAAGAGTTCAGTTGTATTTTATTTTATTTATTTTTTTAGAAGACTTTTTATCCTTTATCGCTCTAAACTGCTGCATTTTCATCTGTTCATCTAGTAAAAAAACTGGGCAAGCTATGGCCCGGGGGCCAGATTACAGCCCACTGGGATTTTTTAATCTAGAACCGCCAAAAACACTAGTACAAGGTCTGGTAAATACTGGAAAGTTTGGAACTGAAAGTTTGGGTTTATTCTTGTATAATTTGTTTAGAGAACTAATAAAAACATCCACACACACAGAAGAAAAGAGCAAGCGAGCGAGAGAGAGAGAGAGAGAGAGCGGGCTTTATTCAGTAAAAATATTTACTGGCTTATTATAGTTGCAAATGTTATAAGCTACCATATCGTAGCAAGTGTCACCCGTTACATTGTTAAATCTTGCAAAGGGGGTCAAACCTGTGTCCTCCCTTGAATTTTTTTATTATTTTTTTTCTTTCCATTGTCCTCAGAGCGTCAACTTAATGCAACAAGCGCAATAAATAAATAGATCTCATTTACACCAGCAGGTGGTGTGCAACCGATTCTTGATCACTTTTTGAATCATACAGAGAAGCAGAATAGTCATAGTAAAGCAGCAACTCAAACGCTACAAAGCTACAGGCCTCTCCTTCTAATTCTGCATTCAATATTAAGCTTCTTTCTTCTTCTTTTTTTGGTATTTACACAAAAAAAGTTTGGAGGCACTTCATGTGCCTGTGAATGCCTACACGAGAGGTCAGGGCATTTCGCTTGCATGTTAACTGTAAAGAATTGCTTATAGCATGAAGCAGCAAGGTTCAGTGTATGGCTTTACAACCAAAAAAATAAATAAAAATTATAATAATAATAATAAATTAAAGCTCAGCAGCACCCCCTTATGGCCTCATAGCAATGAAGGCAATTCCACAGTGGTGTCCATCAGTGCAGTGAAATCTGGTCCTGGCTTTTTGACACGTGCGCCAGTGATTAGAGGAGCGGGTGGCTGTGGACTGTCAATCAAAGCCATTTGTTCACGTGATCACCTGCAGGGGACTGAGGCCACCTGCTGGCCATTGATGATTCGAACACCCACTCTGTCCTGATTCTCTGTTTTTTTTTGTTTTGTTTTTCTTTTCTCCCACAGTCACTCACAGTCCCGTCATCACTCACTCAAAATCAAATCTTTTCTCCCAAAGTCACTCACAGTCCCGTCATCACTCACTCAAAATCAAATAGAAAACAAACTGAATGATGACGTATGTCGTTTTCTTCCAGTGTTTCTCAATCTAGGATTTATGACCGAAATTATAGCGAGTCAAAATGTACTTTTTACTCAAAGGGATTATCCCCGTTTCTTGACCACACGGCGTTAAATTTATTCATGAAAAAGATATATTTGTTGAAGTTTATTGGTCGAAAAGGTCAGCAGAGAAATAAAATACTGAGCCTCGACTTCGTTCATTGAACAGAAACATTATGATTAATTTCAAAGCCCTATGTTTGAGAAACACTGTTTTATCAACAGTTGATGATTGTATTTATATATATACATATATGAATATATGTGTATATATATTGTTTATATGCATATATTTTATATTCATATACAACATCTCCGCTAGGTCAGAAATGTTTTTCGATGGAAACCACTTGAAATGAAGGACTGTATAAATAAGAAAGTTGATACAGTTTTAATATATAACTTATATTACGTATACTTTTGCAAAAGCATCATCCAAAATATATGAAACAAACAATGGAATGAAGGAACAAACAGACAAAATAAAAGACAAACAAAAATAAAACATGTTGATGCAACGTCTCCTCCAGCAGAATGGAATAATAATAAAATAAAATAAAAAATACTAATGTGGGAGCACGTGCCCGTCCTCCTCCACTGCCTGTTTTTATCTCAGCTCCACAACCTCTGCGATTACTGCCACCTGTCGGCAGGTTGGTGGTTTGGTCAGTCAACTCACGTAAGAAATAATGTGAAATAAGTTGTTGCTCCAGGAATGGATCTTCATAGATTTTTTTTTTTTTAGTTCTGTGCACAGCATTAAATCAAATCAAACTGGTTGCTTAAAAAAAGAATAAACTTATTTTGATTTAAATACAGGAACATTCATAGGCTTCGAAAATCATAAAAAAACAAAAACAAACTGATATTAAAATAAAAGAATGGTTCTTAGCTCTTTAACTTGAGGGTAAAATTTTACCTTGGAATAAAAACAGAGGAGGAATGGATGGTTTTTTTTTCATATTCACTGGAAAATGACCTTGGAATGGAATGGTCACTCAAACTATTGAGTTATTGATTTAAGCGTCATAAATTTACAACAAGTATCGACGGTAACTGACGTTTGTGGAACAGACGGCGCGGTGTGACAAGCCTGCCAAGTCAACAGGGGGCGATACAGCCACAACTGTGAAATCTTGGTTGTCAATCTTATGACATTGTGAACCAATATATGGTTTTTAATATATATATATATTATATACATATACTATCTATATACTAGCTAAGTAGGTAGTTCCTGGTATCTGGTTGAGGATGAAAACGCTTGTCGATACACACTCCTGCGCTCGGGGAACGCATCCTCACGTCCACTCACACGCAGTGCAAACACGGAGGCGTCAAAGCCTTCCTCCCCTCCCCCCCCCCCCCCCTCCTCCCCCCCTTCCACCCTTCCCCCCTTCCACCCTTCCACCCTTCCATCCTTCCTTCCACCCTTCCTTCCTT